TTGTAGTGCAAAAAAACCTTAAAAACAATACAATAATTAAAATGAAGAACAATTTTAACAAATATAAACTTATTAATATCTCAATGGGAAGTGTGGGCCTGCTTTTGGCTGATGAGATAAGATTGCTGTTGTTGTTGCTGCTGTTGTTGTGTGCTTTCAAGTCATTTCAGACTTAGGTTGACCCTGAGCAAGGGCCGGGTAAATGACCTTGGAGGGCTGTATCCGGCCCTCGGGCCTTAGTTTGAGGACCCCTGCACTAGTATGATAAGAGCCCTCTCCATTAAGGATTGAGCAGGGAGCCAGGGAGACTAGTTGGTGATCTCAGAGAGAACTGAGGCATTTTCTGCTTTCCATCTTTGCAGGGATCCTGAAAGACTATTTGCGTGAATTACCCACTCCTCTCATCACCAACCCACTCTACCAAGTGGTGCTGGAAGCCATGTCCAATCGGGCTGTGGGGCAGGAAGCGAAGGAGGCTTCAACAACAACGGCTCTTCTGGACTGCTTACCAGAAGCAGAGAAGGTGAGGATTGGACACAGAGAATGTTGGTTTCCGACCCACATTTCCTGGTTCACAGATACTCCTGCCTTTGTCATCTTCAATGAGGCTATGGTTCCCAAACTCAATACAAAACGGGATTCTTGTAATTTTGGGTCCTTTCAGACAGCCATATTGTGACGATGTGTAACTTTATTCTCATGTTTATGTGTTGTTTAGACAGTGGCTGATAAATGGTAAGTATGAAGGAATATATTTTGTTGGAGATGGTGGCTTGGCGTTAGCTGGGTTGCCATAGCAACAGGGGCGGAGCCAACTGCCTCTTCACGGGGCAGCTGTTTTGAAAGTCAGTCAGTAAGCCGGTGAGCTACTGGGAAGACTGAGTCTCTGGGTGGAGATTCAGGGAATTAATTGGTGACCAATGGGGTTACAGAAAAGGACCTGGTAGTGATAAAACTACAGTTAAGAATAAAACTGATAAAACTGAGTTAAGAATCAAGGTTTGGCTGGGAGCCAATTCTGTTAATAAGCCTTTTAGCTTATTTGTTTTATTAGGACAGTTGTCCAGAAGAGTTACATCTGCTTATAGAAACCTCTTGAAGTCTGTGCCTGAGATTACTCATGAAACCTTACTAATGTAACCAATCAAGATTTGTGCCTCTTGTGAGGAAACAGTTAAACATGTTATACTCCTGTTAAAATAAACTTGTTACTGTTTTCCTCAAGCCTTGCCTGATACAGTTTCTCTCAAGGCAAACAGCCTGCATAAGAAGTAAAGTCAAGCCAGGGACAGTAAACGCTACGCTATCAAATGAATAAAGCCTTCTGTAATTAATAGTCCCTTTATAAAATAGCTCCTAAGCCGATATTGATCGTTGCCCAGCTTTCCTCACAGATTAGGTGGCAGTAAGCTTTAACCACACTCCTTCATACATATAATCCAGAATATCAAGGCAGATGGAGCCCCCGGTGGCGCAGTGGGTTAAACCCCTGTGCCTGCAGGACTGAAGGTCTCAGGTTCAAATCCAGGGAGAGGCAGATGAGCTCCCTCTATCAGCTCTAGCTTCTCATGCGAGGACATGAGAGAAGCTTCCCACAAGGATGATAAAAACATCAATTCATCTGGGAGTCCCCTGGGCAACACCCTTGCAGACGGCCAATTCTCTCACACCAGAAGCGACTTGCAGTTTCTCAAGTCGCTCCTGACAAGAAAAAAAAATCAAGGCAGATAATCCACAATATCTTGAGTCCGCACTGCTATATAATCCAGTTCAGTGTAGATTTTAGCCAGCTGCGTGGAAGGGGCCTTTGTCCCGAACAGATTGAGAAACATTGTTCTGCTGCTCAATCTGTTTAGGATAAAGTTACAGTCATCACATCCTGTATCCTGTTTGGCAGCCCTAGCCCCATAGGGTAGAATAAAACTATCAAGCCAGACCAAGGTACCTGTCTTCCCTTTCCTTCTAACCTCAAACTTTTAACTGCAGCCATTCCCTTCCAACATGGCACTCGCTTCCCCCATGGAGAATGGGCAGACAAGAACAGCAATACACTCTGTTCTTGCTGCTGCTTGCATGCCCATTCATCCCCAGGCACCGAAATTTAGGTGATTGTATCATTTGTAATAATGACAAACTGGATTGGGTCCTTCCAGTTTTCTGGTTGAAAGTGATGGTCCAAATTTTCTGGTGCCTTTGTTCCTTCAAACCACCAGGATTTTTTCTTGATCTTGCTGCTATTCTTCTGAGATGAGGCCCAACCTGGGGCCAAAGTCAGACCTATTTGGCAAAGGTTGGGCTGAGACAAGTTGCTTGCTTCCATTTTTTTAGGCTACCCTGACCATGCTGCTGGACCACCTCAGCTTGGTTGCCTCTTTCCATGCCTCAAACCGCATGAACGCTCAGAATCTCGCTGTGTGCTTCGGGCCCGTATTGCTGAGCCAAGGTGCAGGAGGGGCAGGGGCCCGCAGCCCCCGCCTGCAGCATCGCACCATCACCAGCACCATGGACTTCAAGAACCATATTGAAGTGTTGCATTACCTACTTCAGGCTTGGCCAAGTGAGTATTATTTATCGTGTCATCAGCAACCAGACCATTGTATTACATTTCTAACAGAACAA